GTTTTGATTGACTACGAGTTACTAAGTATGGGTTATCAAGTGTTGGTCACCAGAAAAACATTACCCTTTCATCCATCGAGTGAAAGTTGGCCATCTGATGAGGTGACCGGGTATGTTTTATGATCTTTGGATTAGCTTAACTAGTGATGAATTAGTATTATGTTGTGGAGCGTGTATCCTCACATGGTCACACTATGCACACAGCTACAATCCTCTTGGGGTTGGTGTAGCCATGCCTAAAATGAGCATAGCTACATCGGGCAGTGTAACAACATTGTAATTAATGTAGTCTTGTCGGGGAGGATCACTCATTTGTGATATTTCCCAAACGAGCAAAATAATTATGCCTCTACTCAACATGACCACAACGTTGACCAATCCCTTATGTTCGGTTCCTTAAGTTTGCAATTTCGAGTGACAAAAGGAACACTCTCTATTGTGCAGTGTTTCAACAAGGTTTTTCGTGAAGTTGATGGCTTGGTGTGCAAAATCTCTTGGGAGATCGAGAGAAAGATTTGGATGGAATTCTTGTAAGCACTAGGGATTGTTGAGAAAATATATGAGTAAGAATTATGTATATTTCAGGTCTTCATAGTGGAAATTTCTTCAAGGCGTGGCTCAGTGATTTTTTCTGTAAATTATGTTTTTTCACATATATTATGTTGTGTTTTTTCTCAGATTATTTTTCTTACTTCCATTTGAAGATTTTACTCGATTTTTCTCTAATTCTTTGTTATCATATTACGCTGCATGGTTTTAATTTGTAATTGAACAAAGCCCTAGAAGTATACATAGTTCTATCACAACAAGTGGTATCATAGGGGATGTTCCTTCATTCAAGTAAGAGCAATGGCTGACAAAGCAAGGTGCAGAGTGGAGAATTTCAATGGATCAAAATTTGTGTTCTAAAGGTTATAAGTGAGGGATTTATTATATCAGAAAAAATTATATCTACCACTAACAAGGATCACAATGAAGTTTGCATATATGACTATGAAGGAATGGGAAGTGTTGGATCGAATAATCTTAGATTTGATATGTTTATCACTTTTTTCTTATATTGCATTCAATATAATGAATGAAAAAAAATTACAGTGGATCTTATGACCGCATTGAAAAGTATGTACAAAAAATCATCTACCTCAAATGAGATTTAGTTTTTTAATGAAAATATTATTCAACATACGATGGTGGAAGACAATTCAGTGATAGGATATTAGAACAATTTCAATGATAAGTAACTCTTTAAGGAATATGAAATTGAATTTTGATGATATCGTGAGGTTGGTGTTAAATGAAGAAGTTTGTAGAAATGTAGTGAATAGTGAATATTCTGATAGTGGATCTTCTGATTCTTCATTGAATGTTGAAAATATGAAAAGGAATCAGAGGAACAAATACATGAAATGACATATTTAAGTTTGGAAGAGGAAATTTTAGGTCAAGTAGAGAAAATGACTGAGAAGAATGCTATAATAGTGGAAAGAAATGTCATTTCAAGAAGGAATATAAAACTCTAAGGAAAGCTAGTGGCGGAGAAATGAAATTGAATCTCTCTACAAATTTCTCCACATTTGAAATTTAAGGTGTCTCATTGATCTTATTCCTAGTTAGCACATAATTGTAGAAAGTAGATTCAGATTCTTCTTTTCACCCGTGCTCCACAATAGACATATTCAAAAATCACGCTCAAACTAATCTGAGAAAGGTTTACTTATGAGATAATAAGGCCTGTAATATCGTTAGAAAGGGTGATTGGATATCAAAATTCCTAATGAAACAATCTGAAACCTTATTGAAGTTTGATATGTTCCAAATCTGAAAGAAACCTCATATCCATTAGTTAGCTGACAAAGTTTGGGTTTGTGACTACTTTCACATGTAACTCATGGAAGGTGACCGGGCGCATTGGTGATGGCTTGGGATTACATGGAAGACACACTTTATGTGATCAATGAAATATCTTATTTCGTTGATGTGGTTGGAACCAAGATGGATATAGGTCTATGACATCATTCGGTTGATTATATGAGCAAGAAATATATGAAATTCTTACATTCAAACAATAAGTTTTAGGATTTAAAATAAGTAGATTTGTATTTTTGTAAATATTTTTTATATAACAAGCATAAGAAAATTTCTTTCTCTGAAAATGGGTTTGTGGTAAAGTCAAAGAAATTAGAGTTAGTGCATACTAATGTATGAGATCCTACTCCAGTTCAGTCAATTGGAGATTCTCACTATTTTTTCAAGTTTTTTATGAACACATATGAAATGTATGATTTTATTTCTTAAATAAAATGATTGAAGTATTTATAAAGCGGATGGCTTGGTTAAAAATGAGACAGACTTGAGCTGAATTTTTTTCTCTTGTGTTGAAGATAACAACCATTAGAGTTATGTTGAATTTAGTACTAGAGTAAGATCTACATCTATAGCAGATGGATGTAAAACTAGATATTTTACATGGGAATCTAGAGGAGGAATTATACATGGTGCAACCACTGGGTTACAAGGTTGCAGGAAAAGAAGGTTTGGTCTACAAGTTGAAGAAGAGTCTCTATGGTCTGAAGTGAGCCCCAAGACCGTGATAAAATAGATTTGACAAGTTGATGTCAGAGAATGAGTACATGAAGTGGCAGATAGACCAGTGTTTATTCATCAAATACTCTAGTAATTGTTATATATTGTTCCTTTTTTATGTGAATGATATACTGATTGCAATGGCAAATATAGAGAAAATTAGGGACTTAAGGAATAAATTATCATGTAAGAGATGGAGGATTCATATCCAACCAGAAGAATTCTCGGGATGAGAATCAATAGAGACAGAAGGGTAGGTACACTTAAATTATCTCAAGCAAAGTGCATTAAGAAGATCCTATAAAGATTCAGCATGGGTGAGGCAAAACTAGTTTGCACTTCCTTAGGTAGTCACTTACGCTATCTAAGAAACTATCACCTAAGTCTGAAGCAAAGAAAACATAAATGGGGAGAACTCCTAATGCTTCAGTAGTTGGAAGTTTGATGTATACTATGATTTATTTCATATTAAATATTGCATATGTTGCGGGAGTGGTCAACAGGTACATGGGCAATCTAGGTAGACATCATTGGGAGACGGTAAAGTGTATTCTCAGGTATTGGAGAGAAACAATCAACATGGTATTTTGCTATAGGAGAGCATTGATTAGTCTAAGTACATGGATTTGTATATTTAGGTCCGACAGGAGAGTTGGATGGTAGAAAGAGTAAAACATGATATATATTTGCTTTGGGGAACACCAGTTTCAACTTGTGGATTGTTGCACTTTCAACCACAGAGGTTGAATATATTACTATCATTAAGGCTAATAAGAAAATGATTTAGCTACTGGGCTTTATGGCAGAATTGAGCAAAGAGTATGGGATTGGAAAGCTTCATAATAATAATATGAGTGTAATTCATCTTGCTAAGAATGCTATTTTTTTTACTTTAAGATAGAACACGTTCAGTTGAAGTATCATTTTATAGGCTCTCTTTCAGAAGATGGACATTTATTTTTGGAGAAGAAACACACTGCTAAGATCTCGTGAAAATGTGGTGACTATCGAGAAACTGGAGCTATGCTTGGCTTCAGTTGGAGTCCATTAAGGTTAAAACCAGAGGTGAGTCATTCTACGGTACGTGACTATGAAGATGACACAAATATAAATACAGATCCAGGGGATAAGTGTTAGGTACTATCAGTCTTCAAGTTAGAGATTGTTGTGTGTGGAGCCCGAATGCACCCACATAGCAGTAAGGAGTACATAGTCGCAAGGAGCACACAACCAGAAGCCCGCACCTAGGCTTGACAACGAGTCTAGCCATGTCGCAAAGGATTGCTAATGCTTATGATTCTTCCCAAGGGAAAAATAATAATTACGTTCTATTCAGCGTGACCACGTCGCCAAGCAGTTCCTTCTATTGGGTTCTTTAAGTTTGTGATTTCGAGCAACAAAAGGAACACTCTCGTGCACGACGTTTCAACAAGATTTCCATGAAGTAGAAAAGGGTCGAAAAGGAGGATTTGACGTGCCATTTTTCTTGTAAGATCGAGAGGAAGATTTGAAGCGAATTCTTGTAAGTTTTATCGATTGTTGAGAGAAGATCTAAGTGAGATTTCGATCTGTACATTTTTTGTCCTTCATAGTGAAAATTTATTGGTGATGTATAGCTCCGTGATTTTTTCTCGTTCTCAGTTTTTTCAATATAAATTCTGGTGTGTTCTTTCTAGGACTTATTCTATTGTGCTTCCGTTCAAATATCTTATTCTAGGTCTTCTCAAATTCGTTGTGATTCTATTATGCGGTGTGGTTTTGATTTTTAATTGATTGAAGCCTTAGAAGTATAAATTGCTCCATCCCAACAATTATCTTAGGAACCAAATATATTAATGACCATGCACCCCACAAACACACAAGAAACATATCATGAATTACGACATTGCTACAAACTAATACTAATTATATGTCAATATTAGAAGAAATTAAAAAAAAAAAAGAGTAATAAATTCTTAGAGAGTTTATTGTAATAATTACTTTTCCATATCATGTGAGAAAATCCTTCCATAAATAAATGAAGATTTATGTAATAAAAGATGATCAATTAATCTTTGAATATCATATATTTATCATTTGCTAGTAGACACAAGGATCCCTCTCTCATCAGCTCATTAATTAGATTTCGAAACCAAAGATATTTTATTCATTATTTATCATCTTTTTCCTTTTTTATAGATATTTTGAACATTCACGAATTCGTGCAAACGCGTAAACAGGTTATCCTTGGCTGCCTTACCTGTTTAAGCCATCTTATTCAATCTTACGTGCTTGGCGTAGTTAATACATAGTACCCACAATCAGCCAACCCTTTTTTTAAGCTTTTTCCCCACCACCACAAAGCTTAAATTCCCAAAGAGTGACTTGCCATCTTATTCAATCTTACGTGCTTAGCGTAGTTAATACATAACACCCACCATCAGCCAACCCTTTTTTTAAGCTTTTTCTCCACCACCACAAAGCTTAAATTCCCAAAGAGTGACTTTATATTCAGATACCCCCCTTTTTGTATAAGAATCTCCGTGCCTTAGAACAGAGAAGGCAGCCATAGCCATGGGGTTTCGCAAGCGAGGAGATGAAGCCGAGAGCCAGCTTCCTCTTGTTGCCACCCTTCCCAAGCTATCAGACGATGCTGAAGAGCAGCAGATAGAGAGAACTGGTACATCTCTTCCATTTTTCCGCTCCTGAATTCCTTTTGTTTTCACTTAGCCGTTTTTATTCTTCTCTTGTGACTCTGTTCTTTGAATTTCTATCATGCCTTTCAATTGCCTGCTTCGAATCTCTGTCAATTAATCCTTTTTTCTTTATTAGGGAATGATATTACTTATTCTGATTCTTAAATGATTAAGCCTTAATTAAGGTGTAAGAGAAGAGGAAATAAAGTCTGTTTGTATCCCGTCAGCGGGCTTCTTCTTCTTGGGAAGGGAATTTCTGCCGTTTTGGTCGGATTCGCACGATTCAGTTGGTCAAATTAATTACTTTTAACTCCGCGAAAAAGTCAACTTTAGTTAATTCGATGAAATCAAACTCCACCTAACAAGCAATATCGTGCTGAGAATAAGCAGCGTTTTTATGTACAAATTTTTCAAAATGGTCGCAGTTGGCTTTAGTTTAGTATTTTTTGAAAAATAAATTGTTTCTTAAGCTTAATATAGCTGCTAATAAGTCCCCCAAAGTTCTTGGCAAGAAAGATAAATTTTCGCTACTTCAGATCGCAGCTAGTCTCTTCCGATAGGTTGAACAAGATTTGTTAAGAGAA